TAACTTGTGAAGAGTAAGAGGAAGCCCAGCCATTGGTAACTTGTGAAGGGTAAGAGGAAGCCCAGCGATTGGTGACCGATGAAGGATTAGACGAAGCCCAGCCATTAGTAACTGGTGAAGGATTAGCAGACCAGCCATTGGTAAATGGTGAAGGGTAATAGGATGCTTAATGACTGGTGACTGGTGAAAAATTAGAGGAAGCCCAGCCATTGGTAACTTGTGAAGGATTAGAGGAAAGCCAACCATTGGTGGTGTGAGAAGGGTTAGAAAAAACCAAGCATGAATATTACATACCTTAGGTCCTGGAGTTCCAGGTTCTCCTTCTGTTCCTTGTAAACCTGGCCTTCCTTCATATCCTTTATCTCCTTTCTCTCCAGGTACTCCAGGAAATCCAATCAATCCAGGGTTACCAGACACACCAGGTAATCCCTCTAGACCGTCTCGTCCAACATCACCCTGGAAAAAAAAATTCCTACTATTAGTAATAAATCTGCTGGTAGTTTCAATCAAAAATAAGATTTAAGTTTTTATCAAATTAGCTCAAAAATAATAGATTATAATTTTCAGTGAATACTGCTACAGAAAAATGTAGGTTTATTAAAATATGATTGAATGTGCTGAAAAGTAGTGACAAATAAGGTTGTAAAAGTGACACATTGATAATTTTATTCCTCCAGTGTAACATGCCTGTAAATGCATGATTGTGATTGGATAAGAGGTAATTTTAAATTTATTCATGCTGATATACTATTAATTATGGTTTTCTGGGTTTTGAAGCAGGCCCCAGACATGAATAACACACAGTAAAGTTAGATCCTTCTGTCTACTGAAATCAACATAATTATTATTTCGCCCCATTGGCAAAGCGATTAATGAAGTGTTCAAAACAGAAGTATAAGAAAGGTTTTGCAGTATTATGTAAACAACAACAAAAAATGATTTCTGTCTACAGTGGATCCCTTGTGAGCCAGGAAGCTTGGTCAATCGTCAAAACACAATTAGAATTATGGCACTAAATGGGGTCAGTATTTTTTTGAAATTATGTCAATTGATACACTGTAAAATACATGTACTTATTATAATCTTCACTGGGTGACTTTTTGGGTGTTTTGTATGTTATTTATTTGCACTGATTTTCGATGAGTTGAATGTAAAATATAAGAAGAAAGGTGTATTCGCTGGATTTTTTTTCAGTTAATCATTCCTTCAGCTAAAATAGCGAAAATTAATTCCAAGCGAAAATAAAGTATTTCACAGGACTATAATAGGAACCACCACTAGAAGAAGTGACTATACCACTCAATTTTATTCAGTTCACTTCATGTATATACAAGCGATATATGTTGTGCAAATCAAATCTTGTTATATACAAGCCTCTTGAAATAGGTATTCCTTGCATAAATAAAATATTAAAATAAAAAAAAATAAAGATTAGTTGACAAAAACAAAAGTAGACCTAAAACTACAAATGAAAAAAAAATAGGGCGCACACAACAAATTTCCACCACCTGTATTATAGAACTTACTCTTCGTCCGTGTGGTCCAGGTATTCCAGTAGGCCCAATTAAACCTCTGTCTCCTCTGGGCCCTATAATTCCTCTTGGTCCAGGCCTACCCTCCGGCCCTGGGGGTCCCTTATGAAGAGAAACAGAATATTATAAACTTCGTTGTGCATATGTATATCCCAACATTATGGAAGTATTATCGGCTCACAAGTGGCATAATTTACATAATTGATTGATATTCATGCATAAATTATTCAACCTACTCAAAAAAATCATGTGATACAAAGTCCGAAATGTATCTGTATGGATCAGATTAATACATATTGAGGTATTATTTTTAGTTCCTTATTTTTGTAATAATTTTTTACTTAAAATGAAATTCAAGACATTTATTCAAACTATACCTACTTGTATATCAAAATAAAGCTGCATTTGCATATAACTTTTTTTAGAAGACAGATTTAAAATATATATCAAATACAGACAGTACTATCAGTATATGTAATTTGTCCAACAAAAGAGTAAAGGTAGTAAATTAAAGGGCGGTGGTCATCACGCAGTATGAGTTCGAATTTCACAAGAACAAACAATGTATTTTATTTTAAATGTGTTGTGTAGGGTGCCATGAGTCCCACAATGAACACAATGTGGTATGACGACCACGCCCCCACCCTTTAAAGATCAAATATGACTAATTCTATCCCAAACTATCCCATATTAAATGTAAGCAATATTAATAAGAGTAAATGTGAACAATCATTCAACACATAAGCTCAATATTGTTTTCCCCACTTCTCCTTCAACAGCAGTAAACCATGGATGGTTATGTATAATATTTGCAAACTTTTAATTTTAAATTAGAAGAATTACCGACTAGTATTGTTTCACAAAAATATGCAAATTAGGTAATTTTCGCTGTAATTTGATTCATCACTTAAGCAGAAATGAGTTTAGTGTTCAATAATATAACAGAAAGTATGTATGTGGCAAATTCCTTAAGGTATACATCTTTAAAGACAGTAAAAATAAAACACCAACCTGTTGTCCAAATGGTCCTCTGATGCCAGGAATCATCAATCCTTTCTGACCCTTGGTTCCTTTTCTCCCTGGTAGTCCAGGCAAGCCAGGTAATCCAGGCAAGCCCTGATGTAAAGATAAAACATACATTTTTAACATACTGTAAAACTGAAATTGATCGTATGTCCGATTACATCAAAGACTCATTCATAGTTGACATTTACAGCACACAGTAAAATAAGGTATTTATGGTAGGTACTGTTGATACTAATAGAAATTTTCTCACATCATCAGCGTCATCACCATGTGTTCCAGCATAACCTTTGTCACCCCGATGACCTCCATCTCCAGGTAATCCTTTTGGTCCCACTTTGCCCTTCTCACCTTCTTCTCCCTAAAAGCAAAATATATTGAAAGATATCAAAATATATCAAATCATAAAATACCAAATGAATGTACCAACGCCATGAATACACTGATTGTGATTTGAAGAAACCTAGTTTTAATATATATAAACAGAATAATAATAATGACGATGATTAATACCATACCATATTTATATATCAAAATATATCACAATGCAATTTATATCAAAATATATCACAATGTAATATATATAAAAACATACGACAATGCAATATATATGAAAATATATCACAATGCAATATATATGAATATATATCACGATGCAATATACAATGTATATGAAAATATATCACAATGCAATTTATATCAAAATATATCACAATGCAATATATATCAAAATATATCACAATGCAATTTATATCAAAATATATCACAATGCAATTTATATCAAAATATTTAACAATGCAATTTATATCAAAATATATCACAATGATTTCATTGAATTAAAGCCACAGTGATGTGAAGTGAATGATACGGATATATTATCCCGTATCATCAGTATCATTAAAGACCAAAATTATTCTAGACAAGTTACTCACAGGTATTCCTCTTAGTCCACGCAGTCCGGGTTCACCTCCTACTCCAATATCACCCTACGAAGACATTGAACATTGTTTCATCACTACATACTTCCCATGTTAGTTGTGTTTTGTTTCTGACAAAATAATATTTTGTTCATACACAGTTATTTTTAGTGAATATAATATGCCTATACCTTAAGTCCGGGTTTTCCAGAAATTCCTGTGCTACCTGTTGGTCCCCGTTGACCCTGTTAAATAATAGTCAGTGTTCAAAAAACATATTAAGTCATTTCAAAAACATTGTTAGTAAAATATTGTATTATGCTGCCTTAGTCTCATGGACCAATTATTTTCTTATCCTTAGTGTCATTTGTCCACCATGAACCATCATTTTTTTACCATTAGCGTCATGTGACCACCATGTACCAACTATTTTCTGTTCTGTAGTGTCACGTAACCATCATGGACCAATCATTTTCTTATTTTAGTATCATGTGACTTCTATGGACCAATCATTTTTTATCCTCAATGTCATGTGTGCACCATGGACCAATCATCTTCTGATTTGTATTGACATGTGACCACCATGAACTAAGACCACTTAAAAACATATCAAAGGCCACAAAATAAAAAATCTTCTGGTTCACACATACAATTTGTTTATTTTCTGGGAAAAAGATTTGTTGCTGGTCATCGTGCAAGTGTGCGCTAATTTCAAAATAAAAAGTAATTCACAAAGAAAGAAAAACGTCATTTGTGTAAGCACACAATTTCTCCGATTATCACAGGCCCCAAAAACAAATATAAGAGAATTGTTTTGAGAGATTATATTAACTGTTCAATTCATCAAAACTTTTTAAAACTTACTATGTCACCTCGAGGACCTTTTGGTCCCTTATACCCAGCATATCCAATATCACCAGGAGGTCCTGGTTCACCATATATACCTGGTAAACCTCTGGCCCCACGTTGTCCAGGGTACCCATCTGCTCCATGAGGACCAGCTAAACCCTAAATTGAATACATACATAGTATATAATTATTGTTTACATAAAATTATGGTTTAGGTTCAAAAAGAAGACAAGGAAGTTTGTATAGAGCTATTTATTCTACAATTTAACATTTAAACAAGTCATTGTAAAGTTTTTATTTGACTGTGTCAATTATAAACAATAAAAGATGTAGACAGATTATGATCAAATGTTGGAAGGTATATTCAGGATGTTAAAAAGATGGTGCTACTTTGAATGGCACCTTTTTCAGGTTTTGCTCAGTCAAAGTGAATGACATCATTCTTATTCTTAGGGAGGGGGGAGGGGTATCTGGGAATTTTCACCGCCTGGCAACCATCTCGGTGAAAACAAAGGCCGAAAACTCCCAGAAAAACATACTTTTAGATAGTTGCTGAGATTCTCCTGAACAGTGTAACAAAATTACCCCTGTGTGTGCAGCACGAGGGGCGTTCAATAAGTAATGCCCCTGACCCACGTCCAGTTGTCTGATTTAGATGAAATTTTGCATGTGTTATGATTTACATATCTATGGGTTATGTTGCAAGAACAGCTCTGAACTGATTGTGGTTTCTGATTTACAGGTATTTGAACTGAGTCAGGTGTGAAATGGAGCCAGTTGAGTGTCGCGCAGTGATCTGGTTTTTGATTCGATAGGACGCACACCAAAGGGAACTTTTGATGAAATGAAAGAAACTTATGGTGATGATGCCCTATCATATGACCTTGTAAAATGCCTGCATTGTTAACCATGACTGATGTCAATGGTAATTTTGAATGAAATCAGTCAAGGCATGTCTGAGATACAGTTTATGACATGTTCAAATGTTGATCTTTGGTGTTTTGATTTTAGTCCAAATTGTTATCGTTTAGGAGTATATTGGTTAAATTATGGTAAAATATTAATTCATTGAAGATATATCTACTCACTGGTGTACCTGCCTCTCCTCTTGGTCCTGCACTTCCACGTGTTCCAGGGAATCCCTAGTATTGAAAACAATGTACACATAATGCGGTAATAGCGGTAAAAATTTTCCCTGCCAGCATTATTTTAAAAAATTACAGGACATTCACAATGATTAAATTTCACATAAAACACTAAGATTTTTTGCTTGGAAAACCTTGTAAAAATTTGTTACCAAATAACATGACAACCCCCCCCCCCCCTGACTCAGGAGATTGGATAGCATATTACGGAAATCTAACAAACATGTTACATGAACAAAATTTTCATGTACATTTCATTTTGAAAATTATCCATGCTAGTCGCACCAAAATTTAACTTAGCAAGATTTCATGAGGATAAACATTTTCCCCTTGTATACCTTTCTTTTCTTCTAATGATATAAATAACATTTTTATGAGTAAATGATTAAAAATCGATGAAACAGTTTCTGTTGCATATTTTAAGACATATGATAACAGCAGATTCTTGCTTACAAGTAGTCCCACAATCTTAAAATAAGACATTAAACGGGATTAGATCCATGCATGGACAACCATCCATAAATAAGGACATTATACATTGGTCGGCCATTTTCAATTGGTTTGCAAAACATGTATAAAATTGATGATAATTTCTGAAACCGCAGAACGTTTGTGAAGAATCAATTATCTCAAGTTTGTATTTTTTTTAAATTCTTGACAAACAAATTTTTCTCTTTGTGAAATTGAAATGGTTTATAGAAGTATGAACCAAAATAAATCAATGTCACCTTTTTACTGATAGAGGTTCTGTTCCAGTGAAAGATGAATTTGCAACAGATATATAACATAGTTGAACTCTGGTGACCTTGCCCTTTGTTATATAATATAATTCCCTCTATCACAGTTTGTTTCAATATAAATATGTATTGTCATAATTAATTTTGAATACAAACAAGTTTTGGGGTTGAACCAACAGTGGGGAATCAGTCTACCGAATGTCCTTAAAAGATGTAAATATCTTACAAAAACATTGGTGCCTTATTTGTTTAATTATTTTAAGGGACATAATTTCCAGTTTTATTCAAAGTAATTCAGATATTTTAGTATAAAAATAAATGCCTCATCGCAAAAAAAAAGTTCTGTATTTAGACATGAATAGATTCATAAAACATGCAAGATAACAGAAAATCTTAGCTGGCTTTTGTATAAGTATTTTGTATTACATGAAAAGTAATAAAAAAATACACCCTTTATGAATAGCTATCATGTTGCAAGCTCTGCTTTGTATGCAAATCAACTTAAGTAGTTAGTTGGTGTCCAGTGGAGGGAGAAGTCAACAGTACTGTTGACTCCTGAGAATCTACATCTTCAAACACTGCAATCTTCGAAGTGCGTTTTTAAACTAGTATTATGAAAACTATCATTCTGTTCTAATAGCTGAAACATATTCCTGCGAGTTTTCATTTGTCGAATGAACTGTTTGTCAAATACAGAATACATATATTTTAGAACAATTTTCTTTTTAAAATGTAGATGAAATGTTTTGCTTTTTATGTATTTTTTATTTTTAATTTTTTGTGATTTTTTATGTATTGTTTTTGATTTGATAACTTTGAACTAACAGATTTTCTATTAGCTTCAGATCTTGATCAAAGTTAGGCACCCAGTTC